GCGAATTAAATATTGATGCGGACTGCGGGAGACGCACAGTGCACTCGAATGTGGACACCACGTAGGCCGCAACAACAAGGAGCCTCGAAATCGGCGGGCATTTGTTATTGTGCTGCTGTGGGCGATCGGCCGTAACCTCACTTCGGTAGCGGTGCCACCATTTTGTGTTTTCTACAACTTGTGCCATTCGCTATATTATTTTGTATTACACATTGTGCTGTGTTCTCTTCGCAGGCTGGCGGTAAAGCAGGCAAAGATTCAGGAAAGGCCAAGGCGAAGGCGGTATCGCGATCGGCGCGCGCGGGTCTCCAGGTGAGTTTTACAATCTGTACCTCGGTTTTTTGGCGCCTTTTCGGTACCCACCTCGCCAGCGAGCATATTCCACCACACAAACAGGGTGTTCGCTCTCGGCGGACGTGGGGGTGACAAAAACATAAACAAGCCAGTCGCCGTTCCAATCAACTAACCAGGAATTCCCTTCTGCCGCACACAGTTCCCTGTGGGTCGCATCCACCGCCATCTCAAGAGCCGCACTACGTCACACGGACGCGTCGGAGCCACCGCAGCCGTTTACTCCGCTGCCATATTGGAATACCTGACCGCCGAGGTGAGTCCGTCGACTTTTCCCGCCTCCCGCTTTTCTCTCGCGACACTTTTCCCGCTCCAGCTACATTTTCCTGTTGACACTTTCAATGTAAACAGCATTTACTTCAAATATTTAAGGAACAGCCCTTATTCCGAAATTCCTACAGTTGCATTTATTCCACTTTTCTTATTGCGTACAGTAACTACAATTCTCCGCTCCAATTGAAAACCCGAGTTTCTTATTGACATTTTATGTGGAACGAGTATGACGAAAATGTACATCTTATTTATGAAATATTCGAGCCGCATTATAAATTGTCTAAATATAAACAACTTCGTACTTTTCACTTTATGTAAAAATGTATTAATTTTATACGAAGTATACATTTTTATAAATATGTTTTTCACGCATTTAGGGAGCTACACTTTTCCCGCCACTTTTCCTAATAAAACGTGTACATTTGAATTTTTTTTATTGTTGACATCTACACTTGTTTTAATATTTTGGTAATGTAATTTGTATTAGAAAGAGTTTTTTCTTGTTTTGTTTACTCCGCAATTTCGATGTTTGTTTTGGTAATTAGTCGTAAAAGTTGTGGCACACATCATTTTCTACTCTTACGAATTGAACAATTTAATTAACTTGTTTGGTTTTCCCAACCATTTTAGGTTCTGGAATTGGCAGGAAACGCATCAAAGGATTTGAAAGTGAAACGCATCACGCCGCGCCACTTACAGCTCGCCATTCGCGGAGACGAGGAGCTGGACAGCCTGATCAAGGCAACCATTGCCGGCGGCGGTGTCATTCCGCACATACACAAGTCGCTGATCGGAAAGAAGGAGGATACGGTGCAGGATCCGCAGAGGAAGGGCAATGTCATCCTGTCGCAGGCCTACTAAGCCGGTCGGCAACCCGGCATTCGGACGCCTTCGGAACATGCAACACTAATGTTTAATTCAGATTTCAGCAGAGACAAGCTAACAAACCGACGAGTTGTAATCATTTCTGTGCGCAAGCACATATTTCTTATATACAACGTAATACATAATTATGTAATTCTAGCATCTCCCAACACTCACAAGCATACAACATACAACAACAAAAAAACACACACAAAACGTATTTACCCGCACGCATTCTTGGCGAGGTTGAGTATGAAACAAAAACAAAACTTAATTTAGAGCAAAGTAATTACACGAATAAATTTAATAAAAATTATAATAAAAACGCCAATCCTGTTATTTCCAAAACCCAGACGAGATGATTACGCTTGTGTCGCTGAATGTAAAGTAATGCAACTAGATGGTAATAACTCCAGCTGTAAAAAGTACAAGTTTCTTAATTGTGAGTAGCACAGTATCGCGTAAAGTTCAGTTTTAAACTTTGCATTTAGCTCGAACCCACAATATTTGTAAACCCAATAAAAGTGTAAATGCCCAAAGAGAAATATCACAACTGTAGCTTTTCACCCGAAAGATAATAATTAATAGACTGACTTCAAAATGCGTATTATTTTAAAGAAGTTATCATATATTTAATTAACCAGCGAGCATTTACACAAAGACTTGCTAAAAGTAGACATTTTCTGATTAAGGATTAAGCAAGTAGCAACTGCAAAAGTGAAAAATGAGCTTTGGCCTAACCCAGGAGATGTGGCTGAGCCCGCTGGACATCGTCGCAACGCTCCTTTAGGTCCTCGGGATCCAGCTCCAGGCAGGCGCCCCACTCCACCAGGGTGATGCGATGGTCCTTGTTGGAGTCGCAGGACTCGAGGAACGGTGCAATGCAGTGCTCGAGACTGACCAACGGGGCACGGATGGGGAACAGCTCGTGGCGGGAGACGGAACGATCGGTGTCGCCGTCCAAGTCGCACCACTTCCAAACGGCAGCGTTCGACCAGCGACGCGAGTTGTTCGTCTCCGCCTCCAGCTCCATCTGCATGTAGTGCTCGGTCAGCTCATCGCGCTCGGCCAGGTCGCGCATCACGTTGAACAGCCAGTCGCGCATGCGCCTGGGGAAGTCCTTCAGGTCCTCGCCCTCGCAGGACCTGGGCTCGTGGCAGGCGCCGTAGTAGTCGATGTGCATGTGGGCATTATCCGGATTGGTGCAACCGGGCTCGCTACTGTCGCACCAGCAGCGCTGCTGGTACACGGAGCAATCCGACGGCCAGGTCTCGTTGGTGTTGGTGCAGACCAGGCGGCGGGTGTCCACCTCCTCGGGACACTCCGGAATGCACACGCACTTGGGCTTCTCGTCGTGCATCTGACAGATGCGACCCGCTCCGCAGCTTATTGTCTCGCACAGATCCACCTCAACGACGGGATTGAGTAGATTGTCCTGCACTTCGGCCAACTTGGTGGCAATCTCGTTCTCCCGCTCAATATCCTTGATCTGCAAATGGCATTCAGTTAGCGATATAATTGTAATTGATTAGAAGCAACATGCCTTGTTCTTCTCCTCCAGCAGGCGCAGGAACTCCTCCTCGTTCTCATCGATGTCGGACAGGTCGAGGTCCTCATCCAGCAGCTCATCGGCGATCTCCGTGGAGGCCTGGACGTGGCTCAGAGCCAGCAGGCCCAAGCCGAGCAGTAGCCAAAGGGAGCGCATCTTCATTGGCGATCTCAACTGCAAGGGTACCAAGTAATCTTAAATGCTTTAAATCTTATTTTTCTACGCTAACCCAAATATTCGACCTTCTCTCTATAAAACGGCGTTCTTGTGGTGGTTATCTTTTAAAAACATACCATATTTACAATAGAATGGCAATATAAACAAAGTACAAAGTCATTGCGATTGGGAAAGCTGTAATTACGTCGAATTTAGCTGTGGCCTTGGCCCAACTTCCGTTTCAAGAAGGTTTTCGACTATTCCCCGGCTGCGTTACTGTACTCCACTGGAGATCTTGTAACCACCACCCTTACGGGGTGGTTTTACATCCACATCCCGGGCGGCGTCTTCTGCTCATTGAAAACAATTGAAGAAGCCGCAAAAATCTTGCGCGCCTCTGCTGCAGGGTTCAAAAGGTCAACGCGAATGTGGCGCACAGATACAGATGCAGCAGTTCTCCTTTTATGAGCAATTTAGCTTCGAAAACAAAACCAACTCATTGTTGGCAGAAGTTGATTATTGCAGATCTGGAGATTCCAAAATAGAACGAGCGTGTTCATGGAAGCGAAACCAGGATAAAATCTTAGAATTTTAAATGTTTGCCTTTCATTTCCTTTCCCGATGCAAATAGTTTTCTTGCTTTTTCAACCGCAACGTCGAAAAATCTGGGAATATATGAGAATTTGGGGCATGTTGAACACATGTTGACCAGTTCAAAGCTTTTGCCCAAATCGCTAGTGAAATCATTTATATAAATGCTCCAATTTATGTGAATATACCTGATTAGAGCTGACCTTAATCCTATTGCTAAACATACATTCTCAAGTCGAGCCGAATTTTCGTAATGATTTTAAGACGTCGCCACAGTTCCACGCTCTATCTCAGCACATGCGCTATACGGCCTATGGAATATGGCACATCAGTTGCCCAACGACAGTTGGCTTATCGCAGGCCTGACTTGGCTCCACCGCCCCACCGCCGCTTATCAGGATGGGTCGCTTCCGTTTTGGGCAGCAAGATGTGCTTAATCGTCGCTTTTGTGTCGCAAAATATCAAGTCAAATGCGCTGCTATGTATCTGGCAATTGAGAAATGTATACGCGATCTCGGGGTAATGGGGCTTCCAGGAATATCCGAGTGGGATGCTGTTGCAGTGCATTCCACATGCTGCACATACATGCATACTGCAGTACACATGTGTCTGTTTAATTATACCGACGAAACTAGAAACAATGACGTGATGCTGCGTCCAAGATGCAATGTTTATGTCGGCGGGGCCAGTGGGTGAAAAGAAATAGGGCCTGCCGCAGAAACAATTTACTTGATTAACTTGAGGAAATGCAATTCGCAGTTGACCTTGCAAATCACTCGACTAACTTTTTATTCTGGTAAACTGCTTAAAAACCTTCAGCTCTGACCAATTAATTGGCCAATTTTATCGAAAATCAAGTCCAATTGATGACTATTTGCCAATAAGCAAGGAACATTGAACTTGAAGAACTCGAGCCAGAGCTTAGCTTGCAGAAATTTGAGGAACAAGCTAAGTATCTGTATTTGTCACACACTTGTTTTTAATCCGATTACGACACTCAATCCTTTGTTTCACTGGGCGAGTACTCACTGTGCGGTTGATGAAGTGTTTCCTTTCTAATGTCTAATCGCGTTGGCGGATGGCAAGCGACTGTTTGCCTGTGGAAAAGCTTCGGAATGATTACGGATCGCCAAAGTGGAGCATTGTCCATGTTTTGGGATCGCCTCCAACGTGTTGGCTCCCAACATGTTCGCTTGGAATAAAAACACTGATTGCCTCGATTTTGGTAGCTCTTTATTGGTTCTACTTTCCAAAATAAAATAAAACAAGACCGCTTCTACGTACCTCATTTTATTGGACACTTTAGGTCTGGTCTTTTGCAACAGGCCACTCCAGCGTTGCTCCCGGTTTTTACATTGGAAAAGAAATGTGTGGTTTTGCTTAGAAAAGCGTAATAAATAGTTGTTGACATGCTACACATAAGACAGGAACTTAAACGCACTTATAAAAACTCTACTATATTCTAGATGAGATCCGTTCCTAACTTACCTTACGAATAAACTTTGTCTGAAGCGTTTTATGGCTTAGTTTTGCTTGGTTTATACGAATACGAGTAAAATATGTTTAAAATTAAAGAGAAATTTGTTTGTATCTAGAATTGCATTACGTTAACTAAATCTTTGGGTAAATAGTTTATGCTATAGCTAAAGAGAAGGAGACTTACATATCGGCAGCTAAAACAAATACATAGTGTTGTTTTTATTTTGTATTTATTTAAAATAAATTTGGGTATGGGTTTTCATAGAGTTCGGTTAAGTGATAAATTGTATCTCGTTAATGCAGCATAGTAGCTCAAAATGAATCTTGCAAATTGTCGACTAGGCCTCCCTTATCTCAATACTGCATTATATTTCATGATCAATTCAATTCAAAGCCCTTGGCGTGCACTACAGCTTAAATATAGGAGAGAGTCGAGAATAAATAGTAAGTATAGTTAATCTGAAAGCATATACATTTTCTTAGCAATTTGCTTTTTCCGGTATATATACATATGTTTTCGAGTTCGTCATGAAATACAAATTAAGAGATGGGAGGCTAGATTAGAAACCTTCAACATCATTACAGTATATAAGTGTCCGATTTGCTTCTTGTAAAAATTGACATTTGTTTTGATATCATCTCTTGTGTACAATAATAGTTAAGGCCACGCCCGCCAGCCCTGCATTTGATTTGATTTGTGATCCGACTTCGCTTCGAATTCTTATATTTTCTTTGAGTTTTTTTGATGGACGTATCTTCTTATTTGAATGGTTAAGGTAATACATAGGTATCTACGATTAAACTACTTGTTTTGGGCCAATAAGCTCAGGCTACAGCTCCGTGATTTATGTCTACTTAATTGATTATGACTGGCAATTGTTCTTCGACATTTGCACGATCTTTCATTTTTACAGATAGAGAGATAGTTGTCTTCAAATAGAGAGATTTGTTCATTTTATATCGTATTTGGGCATGTTCTACGATTCAGAGTTCCAAAATTATCTCTAAATTAATTCGAATGGGAGAAGAGCTCGCTTCTCACAATACGTTGTATAAAATATTTATATATAGTCTGGCATAGCTTAGGTCAATCGTAGAGTTATCAATGGTATATCTTAAGTGTAGAGTAAAATCGTAGTTAGTTGTCCTATGATAGAGAGACAATGCGTTAAGTTTCCTGTTTAGTAACTAAGCGAGTGTGGCCTAGCTTATGAACGAGCTTATTAAAGAGTGTCTTGATTCTTGAGCTTTAGCCGCCCAAAGAGCATCTAAATCAAAGAGAATTTTCCACATTAGTAATTACAAATTAACACGTACTTCAGACGTAGTGCATCAATGGCGGGTGGTATATGGGTGGCAAGACGTATTTGGGGTAACTCTTATGCATAGGCCACATTTAAAACAAGCGACTAATAGCGGGTACGGTTACTATGTCGCGATCTACTCACCCGATCTAGCGCCGATACTTGCTATTGGCACTGCCACCGGTGGCCACGGACCCATTGGATACGCCCACCGCCTTGGCACCAGCTGCCGGAGGAACGTTTCCATTAGGCGGCGGAGCTCCAGCGTTGTAGGCTGGATATGTTGTCTGCTGGGGAGGGTCTATAAATAGTAGCTGTTCGTGATCACAGGTAATTTTTACTGTAATTCACTTACGGTAGTTGTTCGGCGGAGCTGCCGAGTAAGGATTCATGCGGTTGGCATTCATAGTGTTGTGTTTTGATGGTCCGCCTCCGTAGTTCTGCTGATAGCCAGTGCCGAAATTCGGTGGTGGTGGCTGCTGTTGCGGCGGCTGCTGCTGCTGGTGCGTTGGAGGTGCTGCACCCGGCACTGGTGGCGGCATGTTCCAGTTACCTGGAGCCGGAGCCGGTGGTCCATTATGACCCATTGGTGGTGGCACTGCCCCAGCCGGCGGCACCTGTTGTACTGGTGGAGGACAACCCCACTGGCTGGGGTGCCACTGCGGGGCACCCGGTGGTGGAGGTGGCGGTGCATTCCAACCATTTTGTGGCGGCGGATAGGGACCCCAGCCGTTCATCTGCGGTGGTGGTGGCTGCTGGTAGTAGGGCTGCATAGGTGGAGGAGGTGCTCCCCAGTAGTTGTAGTTAGGTGGTGGAGCGCTTATCGGCGGTGGAGGCTGTTGTTGGTAGGGGGGCATGGCCTGTGGGGGCGGCACTGGTGGTCGGAAGCCAGGTGCCTGCATGTTGCCATTATGTTGTTGCTGTGGCGGACCCGGTTGTTGTTGCTGCTGTTGCTGATTGAGCGGCGGCTTTGCACCGTTGGCCAACGCACCTGCCTGCTGTTTGTCTTTCTTCTCCAGGTTATAAATAGACTTCTTGACGTCCACGTGCACGTACTTAATCGAATGTTGCTTTTTAACTAATCAAGAGGAAGTTTTCACAATTAATATTTTACCGCTTTTGCATTTTAGGTTCTATACTTACGGATGGCCTTATCCACTGCATCGTAGTCGTCAAACTCGACGAAAGCGAAGCCCCGACGCTTTCCAGTGGTTTTGTCAGTAAGCAATTTAACGGAGACCACACGACCAAATTGCAGGAAGTATTCGCGCAAGCATTCCTCATCGTGGTTGTCCTTGAGACCGCCTACAAACAGTTTCTTCACAGATATATTGGTCTCGCGCGACTCTCGTTCAGGGCGGGGCAGAGCCCGTTTGGCTTCCACAGTTCTGAAAGCGAAAGGTAATGGTATAGATCTATTCTTGGAACGGTATTACCCCCCAAGGCTATATACTCACTTGCCGTCGATGATGTGGGGACGGTTCTCCTGGGCCTTGTCCACCATGAGGGACTTTGTGTATGTGATGAAGCCGAAGCCGCGAGATCTCTTGGTGGCAGCATCGCGCATCACCACGACATCGACCACCTTGCCCCACTGGCCGTAGAACACCTTCAAGTTTTCCTCAGTGGTGTATGGGGCCAGCCCGCCGATGAAGAGCTTACGCAAGTGCTCCAGCTCGCATATGTCCTGCCGGTGGAAAGGTGGGAAGTGGGTTAGGTTGGGTGGCAAAGTGGGTGGTATGTACATATGTGCACTGGGGAACGAATTTAGGTGCGTCACTCGTCAACTCGCATACATGCACAGAAATGTACGTGCACGTTCCGGTTCGTTTTTCGGCCAGTACTTACATCATCCTCGCGTTCCGAGATCACATGTACATCGGAGGACTCCTCCGACAGGACCTCTTCTTTCACCATTGTTTTAGCGATTTATTTAGCTCGAAGTTCAACCGAAATTAACAAACGAAAAATCAAGTTGCACGTTTGTATGTCGAAGCGAAAATGAAAATTGTGATGACATCAAAATTATCGATTATTTTATTTTTAGGTTGCCGATGGCCGATGGTTGTCGATAGCCTGGCTGGTATAAGGACTTCGCCCTTTAGAATGACTGAAATTGTATGTCTGAAGTAGAAGGCTAGCCTATGCATTAAAATAAAATATGTAATAGAAAAAGAAACTGTCAACTGTCATAAATACATACATACATGACTTGGGAATGCGTTAGCTGTCAGCAAGTTCTACAAAAGCGAAGCTAGCACCGATCAGACTTACTATTTAACTTAAGTCCCGATGTCGGAGTCGCCACATGAGGAGCACCGATTGTGCGGCCTGGGTAACCACACGCTGAGGTCCCCGTACCGCATAATCAGGAATCCGCACCTGCTGAAGTTCGGCCAGCTGATAAACTCGGAGCTCCGGTCGCAGCCACTGTGCCTCACATGCTACACGCAACTGATCAGGCTCTACAGGCTGAAGAACAACAATGCGAAGAGACATCTGGCAAATAGACAGGCAGCTAGCGCTATTCTCTCGAGCAGTAGCAGTCAGACATCTAATCATGCGGCTAGCGTGTCCACCACGCAATCCTCGGAGGACCAAAGACCAACCACCAGCGCGGCGGCGGCGGCCGCGGCGGCTCAAAGAGCGAGAAGCCATTTGGTGGCATCCAGTTCTTCCGAAGATACACTTTTCTCCGATGACTACGACGCCAACTCTAATCTCAGTTTGAATGCAGTTAATGGCACACGACTACCGAATGTCCAACCGATTCCAAAAAGGCGCCAGTTTGTACATCTAAACAAGGAAGCCATGGACATTTATTTGGCTGGAACTACTGGGGGATAATACTTCGTTGCATTTTGAATATTTTCATAGGCATGTTTAAATTCGATTGGAAATAAAACTAAGTATTGGCTGTTACGCTAGCGCGCTTATCGATAGTTTCGTCCAGTTATTAGCAGCATGAAACAGCTGGCTGAGCACCAGGGCTGCATTATTGTTTGTTAGTTTCGCTGTTTGGTTTTTAACAAATTTCCTGGTTTTCCCTGAAAACTCTCTCTTATATAAACAAATCAAGTGCAAAATGCTGTGTCCATAACACATGTAAGTTCGTTTGCAAAGTGTAAGTGTTTCTTTCGAAATGTGCATACCTCAAGGCTGTTATGTTTTCACAATTGCCTTTATTCAATCTTAATCTAAACAGTTTAAAGCTCAAATAAATGTAATCAATTAGTAAGTATTAGCAAATATTAATAGGGGTTGTTGTTTCTTGGCGTCGCTGCTGATGCAGTTGCTGTTGTTGTTGTTGCTGCTGCCGCTGCCGCTCGAGCTGGTCATCAATGTCGATAAAATTGGCATCCTGCGTGTTATCCTTGGGCGGCGCTGCCGGCGTCGCTGCCGCGGCATAATAGTTTAGGCCCACGCCCACGGCCACGCCCCCAGTGACGCCTCCGGGGGGCATGGTCGTGGTGGCTTGACCCATTATAGAGCTCATAAAACCATTGGCCACGACAAAGTTTCTGAAAAATTGATTACATCAAAGTACAAAAGAATTTCGAGCAGGACACAAGCCACCCCTCAGGCAAAAATACGAAAAAAAGGATATCGTCTAATTGGGTCTGTGTGCGCATAAATGTCGTAAAATTAATTTCGTGTTAATTTTATGTTAGCCATCAATTAAACTTGTGACATTTCCTTAAATTACTTCCGTTTCGAAAATAGAGGTATAAATACACACTAAAATCCTCTTCACGAGTTATACATCAATCAGATAAACAAGTCCCTTTGTTTTATGTTTATTTAATGTTTGATCTTTAAGCTAACTCAATCAAAATCTGTGAAATCTGCGTACATATGATCATGATCATGAGCTATAGGGAAACCCACCTGTAGTGCTGATCGATTTGAGCCTTTTCAATGCGTTTGTCCTTGGCCCTTCGGTTCTGGAACCAAATCTTGATTTGCGTTTCGGTCAGGCGCAGTGTTTCGGCCAGCTCGAAGCGGCGGCTCCTGGAGATGTACTCGTTGCGGTGGAACTCCACCTCCAGGCGGAGGGTCTGCTCCGTGCTGAAAGTGGTCCTTTGGCGGCGTTGCCTGCCCTCCTTGCGCCGCCTGCGAGCCACTGAAAGTCAGATGCATAGGTTTCCTCATTATCAATTTGTGTAGAAAATATCTAGTTAGCTATGTATATCAAAACGCCTGAGTGTTTACCCATTCAGTGAGTACCAATAACGACATCCCTCGGATAGCATCATTTTTTCACATCCCACCCACTCCACTTATGCCCAACACAATGGAGATGTTAGAGCGAAATTAATCTTACATTAGCAAACCATCAAGTTATGAGCGGGACTAAACGTTTCCGAATGCGGTTGCGTGTTGGGTCAGTTAAACAAATAATTAACCACTCCGATCCGTGGTTCCTCGTGCCTTTGCGCCCCCACCTGCCAGGATTCGTGGGTCGCGTTTGTGGTGCGCATTAGAAGTGCATTTACCACATAGTTTCTGTGTTCTGTGTGCTGTGTTTTTTATTTATGTTTCTCTCTTTATTTCGGCAATCTATGCTGATCCGGGAAAGTTTTAACAATGCCAACAGCTGGCTGGCCGTCATCATCATCACCATCACCATCATCCTCGTCGGAATTCTCGGCATCATCCGCTCTTTCGAGTTTTCCATTCTGTCGCTTGATTGTTTGCATTCGCAGTGTCGCCGACGATGAGGCTCAACCAAGCGCACATTATGCCCCACTCCCTGCAAAACCGAGCACCTGCCACACCCACAGCTGCCCACATCGTTCCACACCTCCCACAAGCACCCACCACATTGTCAATGGTGCGGTTTAGAGTCTAATTGATGTAACAAGGCGAAGCTGACAAGTTGCTCGGTGCTCGTGGGCGGGGATTTCCCGGGAAGGGGTTGCTTTGCGGGCGTTGTAATCTCTGGCTCTTGCTTGATTACCCCTAGTCAGCGTGGCTCTGGAGGGGCTTAAGCTCTTCCCTGATCCTTTTACCCCTCGCTGGCCGAACGTTTTTTAAATCACGTGTGAAATTCGATAGCCAAGTGTCCTTTGGACGGTTTGTTGTGGCTGAAATGAGTTTCCTCGTTTAGCCCTCCTCGCTTGCTGCTTGTGTTTGCTTTTTTAGGTTTCCTGCCGAGCTCAATTACAATGTTAATTTTTTCAGACACTTGTTATTTTTTAGATTTGCCCAACTTTTGCTTGTAAGTTACTCAACTAAGACTGTGTATTCTTATAATTTAAAGATTCAGTACTTATAGTAACTATATGCGAGTGTAGCATTTTAAATGTCAACTATTCGGAGTCTAAAAAGTGTTTGCAAGTGGAGAATACTTAACTGGTCTAAGAAAAGAGTTCAAAGTTGCACCCAATATCAATATCGCTTTAAGTCTGATTTCTTGCTTACAAATGGGTCACCCATTCACCCTTAACCGGCGATCATTTTCATTAGCCGTCGCATTTCAATTTTTTCGTATCCTCGCCTCACCTCCACACCTGGCCAGTGGCCAGTGCATCACCTCATCAGGAGCAAACGAAAAAGCCGCAAGTAAACGAAAACTTTCACGGCTCAATGCGTTTTAATTTTTTCTTGGCATTCAGTTATTTTTTTCCTTGGCTAATTTCTTTGCATTGGGGGTCAGCAGCAGCTCATTGTGTGGCATTGCTTGGCTACTCCACCTCCGTTTTGTTTATTTTTTCCCCACTGATTTTACACAATCCTGGCCAGCGCACTCGGTGCGGTGGTGTGGGGATATTCAATATTGTAGCACTTGCGATTAATAAGTTTTTTGCATATCCGACTTTTTTGCAGTTCCTGCGGAACCAAGTTCATCTGGGCTGCACCTGCGCAAGCGTGTGAAATGCTTATCACTTCCTCTGGGCCTTTTCAATCGTAACTTTCGAACTCTTTCGGGGATCGGGCGGAAATGTTGGCTCCCCTGGGCTTCAGCTGTCCGCGATGCTTGCTACTGAGACGTGGCGCCGAGCGCTGGGCCTCCCTGGCCCGCCAACTGTCGGCCAGCGGCTCCCAGGATGACGCCGACAAGGATGCGGCCGCCCAGGAAGCAGCAAGTGGCTGTGCAGACAGTGGCACGACGGCCAAGGAGACAGCCAAAGCCAAAGATAGAACCACCAAGGGGCGGAAGCGACTCAGAAACATAGAGGTAATGTTGTGAGCTAGTAAGTATAGTACCCACTGCTATTATAGGTAGATTATTGATCAGTTGTCAATCTACCGATCAACCGATCAATAAAAGGATAAATAGAAGTTTTAAGAACGTCTCCAACTACTGAGCAGAGCTATTCAAGGATTGAGTCCATGATCTCTATGAAATGTTCTCACGATCCGGAAACGACTTTCTATCTTGAGAGAAAAGTTAGAAAGGAGGAAACTTCACAGCACAACCATTATATTATCCAAAACTTAAGTTGTGTTTTTCCTAACAGATACCTCCAGAACCCACCACCTGCTGCATGTCGGGCTGCGCCAACTGCGTTTGGCTGGACTACGCACAGACGCTGGCCAAGCTGCTGGGCGACAACGATGAGGAGGCGCGCGAGATTGTGCTGAGCAAGATCACCGACCCGAACCTGAAGATGTTCCTCAGCCTGGAGCTGCGCCAGATGGCGAGGCAGCGGGAGGAGAAGGCGGCGGCGGAGAAGGCAGCGAAGCAGGGAAAGCCAAAGACACCGCCCTCACCGTAGTACAAATCTCTGCTCGCCCTTGTCTAAATATCTAGTTAGGACCAAATTCGTAGTAGCTCAAATTTACTCTTGTACTTAGTGTGTAAGAACTGAGAAACCTCACAATAAACATATAAGAGTCTTAACTGAGCGGTTATTTTCGGTAGTTCTGTTTATAAGCAATGAACCTCGAACTTCTTAAATTTCTCTAAAGCTTTGCAAATATTCTGGATATTGTTAAAAGCCAGTTTCTTTTTGTAATGTATTATCTAAAACACCTATGAGGACTCACGAAATGCGGAAAAGCCGGCGCTGAAGTGCGGGTCGCTTGGGAAACCGGCTGGGAATCCGTGTGGCAGGCCAGGATTCGGTGCTCCTCCGACGGCAATAGCTGGCGGCGGACTCACGTAGCTGAGTTTCTGGTGCATCTGCTGCGAATGATGATGATGATGCTGCTGGTGCTGGTGCTGCTGGGTGGGATGCTGAGCATAGTCCTTGGAGTGGCCATAGAAATCGTAGGCGGGATAGCCGGCGAGCGAGGTGCGCTCATCGCTGATGGAAATGTCCGGCGAGGAAACACTTCCGCCGTCGCTGTGGTAGGGCGTGTCACAAGGAGGCGGCTTGTGGGCGTGTGTTCCGACGTCGATTTCCCCATTCTCCGAGGAGCGCCTTTCCAAGTGCCCATAGAGTCGTTCGAAAAACTGTCGCGGCGACGAAGGACGTTGCGGTACGGATAGAATCGCGGTGTTCGAGATGGGATCTATGCTGTCACTCCTTTTGATGGCCGGCGAGCCGTCGGGTGAGCCAATCTCAACCTTTTGGCGTTGCATTGCGTTCAAGGATTTGCCGCGGAGCTGTCCAAACTAATCACTTGGGTAATCGGCGAGCGACTGACGGTGCCACAAATAAGGCTACTTCCGCTGGTCAAGCGACGCTTATCCTGACGTCGACGGCGGCAGAGGAACTGGGTGAAAAAAAACAAAGCAAATTACGCGGCACATCAAAAAATTAACAGCAGCAGCGGGGGCGCCTAAAATGCTGCTTACTAATAATAATAATAAAAAAAAGACCCCCTTCCCTCCCCACCAAGCACCTGAAGTGTGGCCTGAAGCCCGATTTGATTGGCTGAAGTGCTGCGCAATTAACCCCTAAATTTACTTCCGGCTAAAGTTTCAGTTAAGGGTGGCAAGCAGTGTGCCTAAATAAGCTCCGCCTTCCATTCGGCAAGCAGTTCAATTTCGTCTACACAAGCAGCGTATCAATACAGCCCTGGGCTTATCAAAGACTCACACCCCATCGTTTAGCGAAGACAACAACCACGAGAGCGAGATCCCTAGAGATGGGCAAATCGGTATTTCTTCTTCATATACTTCAATATATTTTTGGCATTTTTTTGAACTCCCGCGAACGGTCACTCTAATCAGTGCAAAATCTATATAAGCAGCCGAAACGCGCCGCTATCGTTAGTTTTACATATCGCGCGCGAGAGATCACATCAAATCGTATCGTTGAGAGTCGGGGTCGTGGATAATATCACGGTGGATAATGTGTTCCCAAAACTTCGACGCGTAAACATGCGTTTTGGGAAAGAAATATCGGTGAAGTGATAGTGATCGAGACAACGAAAACAAACGATTACAGTTATGTTGCCAATCCGTCTGCGCTGCGCACTCGATTCGCTTGTACCGTTAGTTCGCGCAGCTATTGCAGCATCCGAAAGTGCCAATAAAGAATAATAACAATAAACAAAGGCCAACAAGTGGTGACGAAAATAAAAAGAAGGTACGCCTTAGTGAAGCATAAACATCCCTTCGATTTTAGCCAATTTCGATTTTGTTTACCGAACTAACCCCCCTCCCCCTCACTCCTCAATATGGGAGCAGCGCAAAAAACAAATAGAAACAGGGAGAGACAAGCCAGCACTGAAATTGCACCGACTTTTGTTTGTTGCCTTCTGTCCGGATATTAATTGAATGGCTTTTATTTGGTCCGGCGTGCAATTGTGTTTGTTTCTGTGACTGCGGCTCTCCGTTTGAGCAATGCAAAAATATTTGGTTAAAACTCGTTTCGTTTAAAGCTTATTTGGCTTAAGCCCGCGAGTGTGATTTTCAGTTGCCGACTTTTTTCCATCCATCAATTTCGGTTTTTGTTACACTGACATATGCAAATTTTTGAACATTTTTTCGTGCGTTTTATTTTTTGAGCTCAGTTTATAAATACCTTCTGGGTTACACAGCAAAATAAAATCTGGATTTGAACCTGGATTTAAAAAGTGATCAATCTGAAATTTAATCTATTGCAAAACATTCGCATTTAGAGACTTACAAATAGTGACTTTCAGCTTCTACATACATTTGTGCTAAATAAGAAGTAAAATTAATAAAACGCATAAAACGCTTACCTCTTTAGAATGCTTCTCTAGTTTATACATTTTTGTTGTGTGTAGAGCCTCTTTTGGCATTTCCTCCTTCAAGCGATGTTTAATAAACCGAAACCCACATGTTATTCATTCTGTTTTCCATACAAAAACAACGAGCAAAAAAACAATAACATCGGCCTTTTCATTTCCATTGACATTTATGAGCGGCGCTAAGGGTGGCCGCTGCCCTCTCGCTCGCACGCAGCAACTTCCTGCCTCACGCCGTCCCGCTCGCACGCCCAAAGGCGTGGGCGGAGGCTTTCGAGGGGTTTGTTGTAGGATTTCTTTTGATTCCCTAATTCCCACCGCGGGATTTCTCGTGGGCTCGTTTTTATTATCCTGCGCATGCGCAGCATATTACGGGAAAATTGTTATGGAAATGAACGCGGAGTTTTATGTTTGATTAATAGAAATGTCGCGTACTTACCAATTATCAGCGCAACAACAACGAATAACAGCTGTTGGCAATGTGTGATGGCCACTTACCGTTAGAAATGCGGTGCAGAATGTTAATGAAGGTGTTAGTAAGCAAAATAGTGACGAATGCACATGAGTGTTAAGGCACTGATTGATTTGAGATAAGAAATGTTTGAGGTTCAAAAATCTTATGATCTGTTTATGTTTACAACAATTGTTCAATTTGTAACTTCTACATTAATAAGCATTTCTTGTGTATTTTGTTTTTATTAAGATAAGCCCAAGAAATTGTAGTACTCTGATATGGCTTTCCCTTAAGCTTGATAAAAACTCCCTTGGGAATGGCAACAATGTAAAAGTTAAAAATACTTGAAAAGGCATTCCGAATCAACTTTATGGCTTTACTCATTGCCACTTGGACATGATAAAAGATTGGCACGCATATGTGAACTTCTGATTCGCACCGTACTAATCCCAGTGTTTATGTTCCCTTATCTTTGCAGTGCCAAAAACGTCTGACACACTTTAGTGACTTGGACGGATGATCGTTTTCACTAATTGCTGACACACATCATTTCCCTAATTGGCAGTGAAAAAGAGTAACAAGTGCGAAACGAGAGCAAACGCCGAGCGCAAATTGAATTTACGGTGCCCCATCAAAGTCAAGTCGGCCGACTCCAACTAATTTAATGATCAAAAGTAACACATTTTTTTCGCATTCGGCGGCAGCCGCTGAGCGGTGTTAATTGAAAGTGTCACGCTTCGTCTCAATAATAAATATAATTCCCATCGACTGGCTTTCGTCTATGTGAAGTGAGTGCCCGAGTGAAATGCGGTCGGTGGAAGTGGCCAAAAGCGGCCCATCTGCCATCTTCTGGCTGGCCATAGTGCTATTCGTGGGGGCGGCACAGGCTGCCACGCCCTTCGCGAAGGAGTACCGCGACGCGGGACTCTTCAATGGCAATACCCTCGTCGATCTGGACGGATCCACCACCCTGGACATGGGACTGGAGAAGCCCACCAGCAGCAGCGGGCTCAGCGGTGGCTTCAAGTCGGAGTCGTCGGTGGTGCTGCCCGGCATGCTGCAAAATTCAGGTGCGTTTCATTGATTGGGGTAGCTAATAATATCTATATATTATCATCATATAATTATGATGATTATCATATATATAATATATAATATCATATATTACAAATATCACAAATGTCTTAGTTTAGATAGGTCGCTTTAACAGAATTTGAATATCAGGAACATTGCTTCTTTTTCAGTTCTATTAGCTGTTGATATAGGATTTTATGGGTGTTTTCATCTTAGTTTGTATATGTTTCCATCTTCTCGACTAATGGACTAAGTGGAGCCATCATCTCAGTTCTTCCCAGAAATTTAAAAAACAACCTTCATTCATGCTCGCCTTATCAGACCCAAAAAGAGCCCCAAATAAAGCGTGTGTGCTCCACTGAAAGAAGGAAGTGTTCACTTGGCCGCCGCTTCAGGTATACAAGCGGTCATATGTGCCGGCGCTTATCTAACCTTATCGCACAACTCTTTCCTGGGACCCCTTTTGTGTCTCCCGATCTTCTCCCGTGGCTTCGGTCGCAAACAGACCTGCTCCTTGGCGGCATCATATTTCCGACATGGGGAGGGGACACAAAAGTGGGGAACAGATTACTCGAACAAGTGTATCTGCTGTCTGCCGGTTGTCTCTCCCTTTTGCATTGTGTCTGTCCCGGTTTGAGATGGTCCTCCCCAGGTTTTTTCCCTGGTAATTCAATCTCAGCTGCACTCGAAATTGATAGAGAGAGAAAGAGAGAGAGATGAGTGCTGCCCAGCTGGCAACCAGGATGTCAACCGCAGCTCCAGGTTCCAGATTTGAGTCCCCATACCTCTGAATGTACCCATCCCAATTGCAATCCCAATCCCAATCCCATTCCCGTTCCCGTTTCGGGCACGCTCGGCACATCCGCCAAGCAATTTTCCTGCCTCATTATAACGAGATTAAAGCGTAATCACGGGGAGAAACCGAAGAAGACGTGTGCTGGAATGGGGCTCTCGCCGGGATTTCTTTATAGTTTTAATTTCCATTGCTCATTTTGGGGTTCTTCGATCTTTGCCAAAGTGCGAACTTCCTGTCCTGTCCAGTGAAAGGGATCTTCAGCCTCGAGTGTCGAGTGTTTACCTTTCCATACTGTGTCGCCTGTCTTTTTGGCCATCCAAATTCTGTTTCCTCCCACCCCGTTCGGTATTTCGACTGATTTAAATGTCATTTAAGCCGCTTAACTTGGCCCCCTCTTGGCTGCTACGTTTCTGATTTTTAAGTTTTTACGACTGCATTTTAAAGTTTAATGGTAGTCCCATTTTATGAGCGTGAAAATGAAAGTACTTTCGTCAAGTCACACTCACTGTCTCCGTCTCCGTCTCCGTCTTCGCCTCTGTCTCCTTTCTCCTATCCCTATCTTTCTCCGTCGGCCTTTTCTTTTGGAGTTTTGTGGCCCTCGACTTATGACTCGACAGCAATTTAGGGGCTTGGGTGAACTTACGGACGTAAATCTGTGGCTTTCTTAAATGTGTCATAATTAAAGGCAACATTTTCGTTGGTCGATATGCGGGTTGGGATTTTCCATAACCCTTGGCTAGATTTAGATCAGATTTGGATATGGTCGAGATCTGTGGGTGGCCAATATGCCCGGAGTAGTATCGAATTTCCCGAGCTAGAAACCCATTAAAACTTCACAGTCCATTTCTCCTATAATACGCTATTTCCAGGCATTTCCTGAATTCCTCGACAACTGAATGGGCACCTAAATGGGCACCGTTAAAATAGTTGCACGCCTTTGTGAATACATTTTAATGCATCATTAATGCCGTGTTCTTTTTTCCCTCAACCTCTCCATTCATCGCAATTCCTGGACATTGGCCAAAAATATGAAATGCCTAAGGGGACTACCTGAATGTTCTCTGAGCTGAAAGAGAGTTTTTGTTTTCGGGTGCCGGGTCCAGCGTAAAAATTTCAGCAAAGCACGCAAACTTTGGCCCAGGGACCAGTTTTTGGTAGCCTCTCAGCTCAGACTTGGTCTTTTCTTGGTCTTGGCTTTGGATTGGTTTGGTCTTGGTCTTGGTCGTGGTATTGGTATTGCTCCGAGTGCTGAGTTCCCAAGTTGCCAAGTTCCCCAGTTTCCGAGTACAGTACGCAGGCGCAGAGATCTTGGCAGGAGGCTGTTGTCGCTGCCGTTTCTTTGGCTTGGGGTCCCTGGCACTTCAACTCTTCAGCATGTATTTAGATAGGCCAACGTCGAAAGATACAAGCGGCCTGTATCTGTGAGTTCGTGTTGCTCCGTGTGTGCTGGTGCTCACAGACGGGGTTAGAATAATAGTTACTTACTGGATGTGTTAAGGTCACTTACTCATTTATTTAGTTCGCTGAAAACAACTGGTTATCTGACAAATCCAACAGGAATTAGTACTTTTTGCTTATCTTAAAGTAGATAGTAAGGATGTACCAAAGAAATCACACAACATTTAAGATCTCTTGATGTCTTTTTCGACCCACTTTCGATCTTTATTTAATTTTGTCTATAAATATATGTAACTAGTTTATAAAAATAGTAAACTGATTATCTTCTTGGGCTTAATAGATAAGAAATCGTGTCATAATACACTTGAGCTGAAATACATTTTCCGAGGCCCAACAAGTGCTATTATCTTGCCCCCAGTTGTGTGTGCCTCGGCCAAACAAAGCCAGCCGACAATCGTAAAAACTAAACGACGAGAGAATTTATGAGGCCTCAGCCGTAGTGGAGTCTCAGTATTCTGCATTCAGCATTCGGCTTCATCCTGAGCGGTATATATGGTAGATCATGTGCCAAAGTCAGAGGGAACGGGCATTCTTCGAGTTAGATAACAGTGGCCGGGCCAGGTTTTGTGTCATGCAAATGCAGATACAGATAAAAACCAAATGCAGTTTTGCAGTAAGAATATATAAATCAAGGCAGCAGGTAGCACAGACAGGGCAAACGACCCAAACGAGCGATCAGAACGGAGAATGCTGAACAAAAAACCTAGAATGTGAGGCACAAAGTGCGAAATATCCCACAGAGAAGGTGCATCTGTTAGATGCATTTTGCGCTCAGCATCCCGACCATCGCTCCCTAGTCGGTATCGTTCATACCGACCGAATCACACATCCCTCCATCGGTTAACGCTGCCACGCTAATTTGACGAAAGCCCATTTCATGGCATTTTTCCAGCACGGTCGGCGATTTCATGCTCCGAAATCGGACTCTCTGCATCAGGTACAGGTAGTTTTTAACACCTGAAAACCGAATCGTTTAGTGTGCGCAAGTGTCTAGCCTCCATCCACGTCCTCCGTCACTACCACTTCCACGTCCACGTTCACGTCCACGTTCACGTCCACTTCCACATGCACTACCTCCCACCTCAGGGGCCTCGTGTTTACACCTTTTGCGAAAAGTCAGGAAAAATGAAACGGTTTCCTCGCATTTTATGGCCCGAACCTGTTGCGTTGAACCCTCCCTCCCTCTGTGATTTTTCATTCTTTTTTCCTTTTTTTTGATTATCCCATTGTTTGTTTTAGCAGTCGTTTGTTGTTGCTATTTATTTGTTTTTAATTTTACATTCAAAAAAAGAACACACGCGCATACGGTTAATGGATAAATTGTGCAAGGCGCTGGAGGAGTGTACGAGTATATTCTATTCAAATTGTTTACCCAAAGGGGGATGAAAAGTTTTCGGTGCAGTGCAGCCACCGACTTTCTATATAGGCAAATTTGGTAGATTTTTATCTACAGACAGCATTGTTTGCTGTTTTGGCCACGGGACATACCGACAACCCAACTAACAACACAACCGAAGCAAAGTGCAACAATTTGGGGCCATAAACCAGCCACCTACGTTGAATTTAACCCGGCTCCCCCTTCAAATTGCATTGGCAAACAAAAGACAGCACAACGTAAACAGGTGTCTCGAAATGTTTTCCTCTTCTGCGCTTTTCTGCCCCTCTGGTTTTTAATTTGAAGAGTAACCGAAACATTTTTGTTTTTGGTTTTGGCAACGGCCAACGCATTTCCCTCCCCATTAAAATGGAAAAAAAAACCCAAAAATCTCCTCCCACACATTCACGCAGCTAAGCAGCAACTTTCGATTAGAAAGAAAGTGCCAAACAAAAAGTGAATGTTACCCAATGAGTGGAAGACAACGGAGGTTCAAAAGAAACCCAAAAGTGCCATAAAAATATGCCATAAACGCAACAAAATCTCAGAAATCAATTGTGATCTAGTCGCGTCTCTTTCGCCCGCAATCACTCCGTCTCTTTTCCTCCAGAATTCCCGCAAAAAGGGCAGTGGAGGCGATATATGTATGTTATACTCGTGACGTAGGCGTTTCGATCCGGCGCCGATCTCTTGCAATCGTGTCGCCCCCAATGCTAATAAGATTTAACACAGAGACAAAAAGCTAGGATTGAAATATGCTCATAAATGAATCACAGTGCTTTCAAGTAATTTCCGTTTGTGATACTACATATCTCTCTATTTTATTACTATTCTATAAATTGATTATAACCTGTTATTAGACAAAGTTATCAAACCATATGAAAACTAGACAAGCAAATTAAAATAAAATCATATTTTTAATAGGCACCAATTTGAATTCACATCCCCCCCAGCACTTTTTCTAACGAGAGGCATTCTGATATGAATCATTTTGGTCGAATCTAAAAGCTTAAAATCCAAGATGTTTTTTTTTTGTGTTCCCTTATTCAACTTTCGAGTGTAATTTGATTGTGTCTCTGTTGGTTTATTTGGCCGCTGATAGCCGGCTGGCTGTTTGCCATAAACATCTCGTAAATTGAAAAGCGAAGTCATTAAATTTGAATCTCGGCGCAGCAGTTGAAGTTCATTTGGAAACTTGACGAGAATACAGCTGCAGATGCGGGCAGATGCAGATGCAGATACAGATACAGATGCACATATAGATGCAGAGCATGTGCATGTGCAGCCACAACGAAGCAACAAAAAAAGCAACGAACTAAACTGAAAATTAACAACATTATTGTGTATTCATTATGGTTTGGTTCTGA